GTACAGGATAAGCAGTGTTGAAAATGGATTGGTGGATGAGGTATAAGCTATGTTCAAAGGAGTTGTCTTCCAGTGAACACTGGTGTGGTGAGCATACATTTTGCGTGTCGGACAGATCACCCCTAACATATTCGTCTGCATCTCGTCATATATCAGTCATCAAAGTGCCATATTTAACAGTCACTGTCACGTCATGAAAAAGAAAAAGGGCTGTCATCACTGACAAAAACAACAGTGTTGACAAAACATATCCAAATCGTCCCAAAGTGATGTGAAGCTCGTAATGTAAGTCAAATAAATGTCTGTGGATTGTATTCTCCTATTTAGGAGAGCCAGGGTTACCCGGTCCCACAGGCCCACCTGGCCCTCCAGTTTCAGTGGAGTCGGCGGCCAGAGGAGACCCTGGAGTCCCTGGAGGCAGTGGCCTTCCCGGTTTCACCGGACCCAGAGGTATACATTGGGTTTATCCATCCACATGAGACAAGACAGGTACCAGGAGAAAAAAAAACTGTCTTTGTTTTCCACAAAGGTGACAAAGGTCTTCCAGGCCCGCCTGGTCGTCAGGGTCTGCCTGGACTTCCAGGTTTTGCTGAACAGAGCAAAGGGCTGCCGGGACAGCCTGGTTTCCCCGGGCAGCCGGGATTTCCGGGCGGCCCTGGCCCGAAAGGTGAAGGCGGAATCCTGGGATTCCCTGGCATGTCTGGACCAAGGGTAAGGAAAGACTCACAAATAAACATAGACATCTCACAAAAAGTTCGGGATATCGGACTTAAGGTTGGAATGTTGTGAGTTTTTTGTTCAACATGCTGTTTCATCCTGCCGAATATCTCAAACTTTTTATGAGTGGTAGGGATGGGCGAGTAGTGTTGGAGTTATTGGGCTATAGTCAAGTCCACTTTTATCAAGTCCAAGTCAAGTTCGAGTCTCAAAGGTCTGAGTCCAAGTCCAGTCTGAATCACAAAGGTCCGAGTCCACAAGCTTCAAGTCGTTTTTCTTGACAGGGAGATGACGGCTTCCCCGG